GCATAGGCATAGTTATATAGGAATCATGGGGGGGGGTATCGGAATTAGGGGGGGGCGAACGGACCAATTAGTGGGGTTTGAGCTAGGACTCCTATAGGGCAGACTTATTTGGAGTGGAAAACCCGAGCCGAGCCGAGTTTTTGCTGTTGTTGTTGTTTTTTTGTTCCTGAGGTTTTCCCCCTGGAGCCTGGGCTGGCTGGAGAACGCCGAAACAATCAAGAACAACCCACCCTGCGTTTTTTTTTGTTTTTTTTTTTGTTTTTCCCCCTCCCCCCCTGGAGGGTTTATCACACTTGTTTTTAATTGTGGGGCCCCCGGCCCCTGCGAAACAAAGTCCGAAACACCATCAGAGTTGGTTTGTCTTTTGGGTTTCTCCCGTGTGCCCCTTAGTTGGTGTGATTCGGCTTGTGGGTACGAATATTAGACTTAGCAGTGCTTCGCGCGGTTGCGCCATACTCGATCAACGCGTGCGAGATTCAGAATCGAAGAAGCGAGTGAGCTTGGAGAGAACGCCCTCCAATATGACAAGGCAATTCGCTTTCCAAGGCTTATTGTCTGAGTTCCGACGGGCGTAGTCGGAATTGCTCTTGGCCGCAACGGCGAAGCTGTTCATCGCGTCGTCGACTGCGCCTCCGTGTCTTGGATCTTCTTAGCAATCGCAGTTTTTACTCTTGTTTTCAGTTGGATCCACTCCCAGGGAACCTCTTCGCTCGCTTTGACGGCTTCGCAGATCTGCAGGGCGATGCCTTCTGCTGCAATCACGAGCTGCTTATCGGGAAGAGACAACACTTCTTCCCTGATCCAGGCGCCAGGTTCTGCTTTGTACCCGAATATTTAAATTCTGTCATCGCGGCCCTTTTTCCAACAAGGTACTCGAGCAGCGTCTCGACCACTTGTGCTGCTGGATCGGCATCATTGCATTCCTTTTCAACTCTTGCCAATCTCTCCAACATGCGACCTAGCAGGGCTAAGCCGCGAGCTTGCGGCTGGGGCCCCCTGCTGTCGTCCTGCGCAGGGGGCGCATCCTGCGCGCGGGACATCTGGAAACTTCTGATGAGGCCTGCGTCGAGCCTCCGCCGCTTCTTGGGCGTGGAGCATTGCGCGTCGTGCATGTCCTGGGTCTCAGGCGCGCCAGCGCCCATGATGGCTGCGTCCACCTCGGCCTGCGGAGACGTCAACGCCGACGCGCCGACCTAGCGTCGCGGCTCAGCGGAGGAGGCGCCCCAGCGACGGGAGCGTCGCGCAAGCCGCGCGAGGGGCTCGGTGCGCCGCCAGTGCTGCTGCCCACCTGGAAATCGCACTGCGCGCAGTCATGCTGCCGTGGCAAGCCGCCGCCGTCCTCGCTGCCTTTCGACGAGCCAATCGTTTCCATTCTGTACACGAAGAAGCCAGGTGTCATATTGAGCGTGGGCACTGTGTTGCGCGGCGAAGAACACGGCTCAATAATTTCGGTTGAGTGAATATCGAGGTGTAGGACCTCCGTGATGGAAATCTACGTCGCCCTCTGGGTGGGCGCGAACGCCGAGCGAGTGCTTCCCGTCGGGTCTGACCACGGCGAACTGACTTGCTCGGCGCATGCGATCGTGGGGCACCCGTCGAGTGCACTTCCCTTATTTGGTTGCTGAAAACTTACGCCTGTTCTCTTGCGCTCCAACGATGAGAGCGCATGCGCGCGCAGATATGCACGCGCGCGTGCGTGATGGCGCGCGCGAGCGTGCCCGCGCGTAACCTCGTCCACGCACTGCATATCAATTCAGTCTTACAAGCACGACAACTAGAACAACGCGCACGTAGCAGCTCACAAACCTTCCGACTCATCTCATTCCCGTCAGCCAGAATCCCAAAAAGGACCAGAAACAGTGTATTGAATGCTGCGGGCACCGAGGAACCGCAGCTTATTTGCGAGCAAACGTGACCGAACTAGTTGTCGCCATTCGCCGTCGGACGCGCCGACGTAGCTGGCGCCGCGCGGTGGTCTGCCCCCCGCGCCTTCAACGCCGCGCGGAACAGCGCGTCCAAATCTTCGTTGATGATCGCCAAGTTCTCCATGTGCTTGAAGTCCACGTCCTGGATCAACCGCGAGCGAGGCGCGCAGGGTCCGCGATCCACCGCACCACCGTCTTCCAAACTTATCATTTCAAAGCCGTCCGCGAGGACGTTTGTCCCTGCACTCATAATGACGTCTCCTGGCTTGATGCGGGCGATGCTATTCATCGAAAGCGGTGACTCGAACGCGTTCACGTGCTCCGCAACCTCCTGCAGCGTGTCGTCCGTTGTCTTGTGCGCGCATGAAGTCTGGTGCACGTCGTCGGCCAGCGCCGCGCCGCCCCCCGACCAACCAATGCGTGCGATGGCGGCCGAACGCAGTCCACCTTTCTTCTGCGTGTAGAATGTCGCCAGGATTGGCATAGCTTTGACCTTGTGGGACTCACCCCGCGCAGATGGGAGTGCGCGCTTCAACGGCCAAGTGCACTTTGCCCCGACGCACGTCGGGGCTGCCCTGCGGGGGGGCGCTGCGGAGCCACGTTGTCTATTTTGATCGCGGCGCCGTCGATGAGCCTGAGCATGCGGTAGCCATAAGAGATGGTGCCCACTTTGTCCACTTGCAGTATGTCCCCAGGATAACCGTAGCGCTCGGCCTCGGAAGTGTCGACGTTCAAGATGGTGGGGGTGCGCGAGGTGACAGCGACGTGCCCCTGCCCGCCGGTGCAGGTCAGGGCTGCTCTCGAGGCTCCCCTTGCGGTGAGCATCGCAGCCCCCGCATTCCGCGAACGCGCAAGCCAGCCCCGCGTACTGGTGGCAGCCATGCAAGACACCGTCTGCATCAGAAGGATCCCCGTCGGCCCAGGAATGTGTTCTTGAAAGAAAGCGTTGCGCTGGGAAGTAAAGGTGTTGAGTGGAAAGCTCGCTGGAAAGACGAAGACCGCGATGTAGATGGAGGATGCCTGTTCAGGCCGCGCCTTGAGCCCGCGCGACTACGGATATAATCAATGTGAGAGAAATCTGGAGAAGCCGTACTGCCCATCAGCAATTGATGACCGCCGATCATCCTCCCGTTGGGGTCAGGACTCCAGCGCGCCCTGCCGAATCAGGCCAAGCCAATGTTCCTCCTCTTTCCCTCCGCCAAGGGGGGTGGCGGTTCAGAAACTCCCAGCCAATTCAAAACGGCGCCCTCGTCCTCGTTCCCGTCCTCCTCCTCTCCCTCTTCCTCCTCCTCCCTTCTCCTCCTCCGTTTCCTCCTCTCCCTCATTCTCCTCCCGCTGCTCCTCCCGCTTGCGTGATGGCTCCAGCGTGCCCTGCCGATTCTGGTCAAGCCAAGCCTCCTCCTCGTTCCCTCGGCCAAATGGGATGATGCCGCAGACACTCCCTGCCAAGTCACATCAAAACGAACCAACACACATCACATCAAACTTCCTCATCCTCCTCTTCCTTCCGTTCGTCGTCGTCCTCCTCCTCCTCCTTCCGTTCCTCCACCTCCTCCTCCTCCTCCTTCTCCTGGCGCTGAGGCTGCGGGCGGGTCCAGGACGATGCCTTGACACCCTCGTCCTCCTCTTCCTCTTCCTCCTCGTCCTCCTCGTCCTCCTCCTCCTTCTCCTCGTCTTCCGTTCTCCTCCTCCTGTTCCTTATCTTACTTCTCTTCCTCCTCCTCCTCCTCCTCCTCCTCCTCATTCTCCTGCCGTTGCTCCTCCCGTCGGGGTGATGACTCCTGCGCGCACTGCCGAATCAGGTCAAACCAAACCTCTTCTTCTTTCCTTCTGCCCATTGGGGTGATGTTTCAGAAAGAAACTCCCTGCCAAGTCAAATCAAGTCAAACCAGCACACATCAAAGCACACCTCCTCCTCCTCCTGCTCCTCCGTCTCCTCCTCCTCCTCCTCCTTCTCTTCCTGTTCCTCCCCCTCTTCTCTTTCTCTTCCTCCTCTTCCTCCTCCTCCTCCTTCCCCGCCGTCGCCCTCGCCGCCCAACGCCGCGCCGCGACGCCGCCGCGACGCCGCCCCGACGCCGCCCCGACGCCCCTCCGCCGCCCCCGCCCGCCCCGCGGAGGCACACGCACCCCGAGTTTACGGGCACGGAGGCGCTGGCGCCGGGCCCAGAGCGCCCCGCCCCGCGTCGGTCAGGATCGTTTCAACGATCCCCTACAGTCGGGGCGTTGACCTAAGGAACCCTAAATAAGGAACGAGGCCCCTGTTTCCCTTAACTTAATCTTCGATTCCCCATGGAAAACCTAAGGAAAACCCAAGGCAAACTGTAAAACAATCACGGAACACCGAGCTCATCCCCAACGAATAGGGTTCCTTAGTCAGCGCCTCGACTGTATCCCCATCCCCATCCCCTTCGAGACCCCCACGAAGTTACCCCCCCAGTTGGGGATGCACCCCCCGAAGCCCGAAGGGAACGGCCTGCATCCCCATCTGGGGGGGTGAATCGGCCAGTGGGGCCCAGGCCACGCCGCTGGGGATGGGGATCGGTGAAACGATACTCAGTCGGGCACAAGAGGCCAGAGGGCCGAGGATCTCAGGGGCAACGTTGGGGGGGGGGATAGGCTCGGGAGGGAAGCGTCGACCCCCGATCGCTTGCTGATCGCCCACGGGGGCCCGCTTCCCCCGCCCCGCCCGGGAGCGCGCGGGTTCGCTGTCGGAACGGCCAGTGGATCGAGGACCGAGGATCAAGGCTGATAGTTCGAGGTTCGAGGGTTCAGAACCGAGGACCGAGTTCGCTGGTTCGAGGGTCGAGGATCGATGGCCGAGGATCGGAGCTTCTCGGAAGCCTCCCAGAAGCCTCACAGAAGCCTCCCATACACGCCTCGGGAACCTCCCAGAAGCGTTCCAGAAGCTTCTCAGAATCCTTCCAGAATCCTGACAGAAGCATCCCAGAAGCCTTGCAGAATCCTCCCAGGATTCCCCAACATCCTCCCAGAAACCTTACAGAAGCGTCTCGGAGACTTCGCAGAAGCCTCGTCGAAATCAATCGGGCCCACCCCAGAAAACTCCCATACTTGCAGTAGTTCTTTCGGGAACCTCCCAGGAGCCTCCCATAAGCTTCTCGGGAACCTCCCAGAAGCCTTTCGGCCAGAAGATAAGATAAGATAAGAACGCCGTGAGTCTAAAAGGCATGTGAGCAACACTCATATTCAGCCACATCCGCAGCCTCGAGGTGAGGCAAGGCGGGCCGAAAACGAGGAGCGAGAGGGAAAGGAGAGAGGAGGGGGAGGGAGGGGACGAGGAGCGGAGGGAGACGGAGAAGAAGGGACCAGGACGGCGGACTGGCGAGAGCCAGAAGCAGAAACACATCAGCGGGACTGGCTGTAGTTCCGCGCTGCTCGTCTCCACGTGGTCGCCGGGATGGCGGCTATGTTAGACCAGTCGAAGCCACTATGTACACATGCGCGAAAAGCGTGCCTGTGTAACTCTCTGGTCCACGCCGCGCGGGGCCGGCCTCGACCGCGACGCGCAGGCGGGTCGTGAAGCTCAACAGTCGACGGCTTGAACACAATGCTCCGCAAAGGGTGGCCGTCGCTCATCCGCGCGATGCTCCCGAACAGAACTAACTGGCGCTCCAGAAGCCTCTCGGAAACCTCGTGGACGCCCCCCAGAATCCTCTCGGGAACCTGCCAGAAGTCCCGCGGAAATCTCCCAGAAGGCCGTCGGGAACCTGCAGAAAACTTTTCGAACGACTCTCAGAAGCCTCCGGGAAGCCTCCCAGAAGCTTTTCGGAAGCCTCCCAGAAGCTTGCAAGAGTTCTTTCGGAAACATCCCAGAGGCTTCTCAGAAGCCACCTGGAAACCTCCCACGAGACTGTCGGCAACCTCCATAAGCTTTTCGGAAGCTTCCCAGAAGCAACCCATACGCCTTTCGGAACCTCCCATGGGCCTTTCAGAATCCTGTCTGAACCCCCCCAGAAGCCTTTCACACGTCTTTCGGAAACCTCCCAGAAGCCTTTCGGGAGCCTCCCAGACGCCTCCCACACGCCTCTCGGGAACCTCTCAGGAGACTTTCGGAATCCTTTCCGATACGTCTCAGAAGCCTCCCAGAAGCCTCCCTGAAGCCTCCCTGAGGACATCGCAGAAACCTCGCAGTAGGGGGCCACATGCGAACCCTACCCCTAGCCCCCACGATTTCTGCGGGGGAGGGTGGAGTTCGCTTCACTCGGGAGCTCCCGAACGAAATGAGCCCCACCCTCCCCCTCAGAAATCGTGGGGGGTAGGGGTAGGGTTCGCATCTGGCCCCCCACGCAGGCACATTCCAGGAGCCTTTTCTTCCAGACAGCTTCCCACGGGGCTCTCGGGAGGCCGCCTAGCGGCTCTCGGGAGGCCGCCTATGGGGGCTCCCGGGAGGCCGCCCATGGGGCTCCCGGGAGGCCGCTCGGGGGGCTCGCCAGAGGCCGCTCGGAGGCTCTCCTGGGCATCGCTCCCACGTTTTTTTTTTGTTTTTTTTTTTTGTTGTTTTTGTTTTTTTTTTTTGTTTTTTTTTTTTTTTTGTTTTTTTTTGTTGTTTCTTGTTTGTTTTTTGTCCGGCGAGGACCGTCGAGGAGCATCTGGGGCCATCTTGCGAATTCGAAGCGCACGCGAAGCCGAAGCGTGCGCGAGGAGTGGACCGTCCGAGCGATGGCGAGCCTACGGAAGAAGGCGGCTCCGAGGCTCTCCCGGGGCGCCGCGCACAGGGTCTGCAGCAAGAGGCCGCGCAGAGGCTCTCTCAGTTGAGGCCGCGCCGTGGCCTGCGAGAGGCTGCTCGAGAAGGGCGTCTCTCTGTCTCGGGAGCGAGCGACGGACGTACATGCACGTACACCCACACGCTGGTTTCATCTGGTTTCGAAGGCGTGCAGTGCGCGACCGTTCGTATCACGAGGCTGGTCCCGTGTTCGTGTGCGTGGTTGGGCGCGCATGTCCTGTGTGGGCCCCCAATATCCGCAGTCCGCAGGTAGCGTTGCTGTCTGTGTTCGTTCGGCTGCAGTCCGATCCGTTGGGATGGTTGCTGTCGGTGCCAGGGTAGACCGAAGTGGTTGTGTCTCTCAGCCTCCTCATCCGCCAACCTCCCCCCTCGCGCTGCCCTCTCCGCTCTTGCCACCTTCTCCACCAGCCTCCCCTCTCCTCCTGCTCCTCCGTCCTCACATCTTCCCCTCCCCCCTCCCACCTCCCCTCCTTCTCCTCCTCCTCCTCCTCCTCCTCCTCCTCCTCCTCGTCCTCCCCGTCCTCCTCCTCCTCCCTGCTGCTGCTGCTGCTGCTGCTCCTCCTCCTCCTCCTCGTTCTTCCTCTCTCCTCTCCCCTCCTCCTCGTCCTCCTCTCCGCTCCGCTTTTCTCCTCTCCTCTCCCCTCCCTTCCCTCCTCTCTCCTCCCTCCCCTCCCTCCCTCCCTCCTCCTCTCTCTCTCCCCCCTCTTTCCTCCGCCCGCGCTGCCCTCCGCTTCCGCTTCCGCGCCGCGCCGCGCCGAGGTCGCGCTTGCGGAGAGTCGGGGCCCCAGCCGTGTGCGCGTGTGCCAGCCGATCCGGTCGCCCACCACGGCCGTC